AGAACTACAGCGTACTGGTACAGCCTTCTCCCACCACATTCTGGGGGTTGACAAGTACTTAGCACTCTATGTTCCCCATTGATCTGATCACTCTCCTACTGAAGTAAATGAGACTTCAGCTATTGACATCAGTGCAAGTAGCCTTCATCAGCTGACTTCAATGGGCATTGTGAGAGCTCAGCAGTTTCCCAGGTTGGGCCTAGACTTTTAAAAGGATACATGTATGAAAAAAACAGGAGATTAAACTAGATAGATAGATAGATTTGGGCATGATAGTCAAGAGTTAAAGAGCAAAGAGTTTGACAGGAATATTGGAAAGTATACCTGCACAGTACACATGTACTGTAAAGGATCTTTTATATTAATAAAGATATATTTTCCCTTCACCTGCCACCTATACAGACAGGACTCATGGCATAGTCTTCTTGCACAAAATATATGAGATGGTTTATATTTTTTTGTAGAGGACAGAGTACCCCCACAGAATCCTGTCCTCTCCCCAAAGTAGTAGCTTTCTGGGTCTAAATGTTTAACAACCTCCCAGAAGAAGGCGGCATGAATTGCTTTTGTTACAACATGTGTGCACAGTTTGCATTATTATTTACTAACTGTATCATGACAAGGGCTATTTCGGTTTGAGACCTTGTGTAGCTCCTTCTGTACCTCATCAATCACTTATGCCATGCTTTTGTGACACACTGAGGCAGATTAATGTTGAGAGGGCCAAGTTCTGCTTTGACTGTTATGCCCCTGGTTAGTTGGAGCTCCTTAAATCAAGTTACCAAGACTCACATGCTCAGCAGTGACTAAGCACCCAAAGACCAATGGACAAAAGGTTTCCTACAGAAACCAGGAAGGATTCTCTGGGCAACAGGCCTTTCTTCAGTTGTTCTCAAGAAGACTCCATCAAGAATAAAAAGAACAAAGCCTTCAATTATTCCCACGAAGCCCCAACTAAATCAGTGGTGCTTCACAAATTTAAACAAGAGCAGGATTCAGACCTGGGGTTTTTCTTTAACTATGACTTGCCTGGCTTGTATAGGTTTCCATCAGGTATTTTGTGTGGACTGAATGTTAAGATTTTGGACACCTAATCTCTTAATGGCTGGATCAAAGCAAATATTGCTAGAGAAGCCTTTTGCCAGAGCCTCCCAGCCAACATTCACTGTATATACATCTAATGATTTAGTAGAGGGGATGTATTTGTCTAAGCCTTACATTTTTCTGCTGTAATTACTATTGTTGAATGCCTCCATTTTTTGACAAGGAGTGTTTTTATCCTTTTTTTAAACACCAGATTAAACTCTGGCCAAGAGCTGTATTTGGAAATGCAGGCATGTTGTATACATTCAAACACTGTTCTTGTTGCATTACAAAGACTGTATGAGCTGGTGGGGATTTCTGTATTTTCCTAATGAGTAAGAAACCTGCACAGTCCCTCTCCACTTTCTGCAGCAACCAAAAGAATTGATTTTGATTAGCTTCATAGTCGCGCCCCTGTAAAGACTAGGGAGTGCTCTCTAAATGAAAAAAAGACCTCATCTTAGGTTTCAGCAGACAGTGGTTGTGCGAGCCAGTGAAGGAGGTTATGAGATCATAGTCTGTATGGAATGCTGCATAATGTGACTGTGAGGAAAGTCTTTATTAATTTTTAAAGCAGCACTCCAATGAGACAGATCCCATGGCATATTGGAACTTCAAATTTCAAGTTAAAAATGCAATATAGCACCGAATAATTATATTCCCCTTTTAAAAAGTCACTGGGCCAAGCGAATTTCTAGTGTGACTCCACGTTTTAAGTCAATGGGGCTAGACTCAGGGTTGAATTTAGCCAAGCATTTCCATTCTTGCTCTTTCTTAAAAATGATTTTTACCACTTAAATAAGATGGAGTAGAACCATTCAGTTTATTTAAATGGTGCAATCCCCTTGCATAGACACTCAGTTAATTTGGTTTGTTAGAAAATTAAACTAAATTAAGGCAAGAAGCTCAAAATCCATTTAAGAATTTCCAGAAAAGGCACTACATCAATTTAACTAGATTGATTTTGAAACAGATTTAGTTAAATCAATGCAGTTTGTCCATGTAGACCAGGTCTGGGACTTGAAGCATTTTCCATGTTCTGTTGCAACTGGAGAACATGACCCAGTACTGCTCTAGCCATCCTCCTCCTAACATGAACACAGAAAATACAGCAAGATGCAAGTAGATATGTGCATAAGGGATGCGGCAACAAACCCTTCTCTCTTGACAGATCTCTTGCCTTGTCCAGAAAAGGCTGATGGAGGAATTGGATAGCATGTTGTACCACTGGGCCTTATTTTTTAGGTTTCTTTATAAACAGCTTTGAGAAAAATTGTAACAAAACAGTCATTTAAAATAAGTCCAATTTAAATGTCACAGAACTAGAGACAGTTAAAATCCCAGTCCTGGGTCCCAACAAGGCAAACTTTGGACCATTGTAGATATATAGCTAAACTTCACAGCTAAACCCCATATCTAGCTTTAGATTGAGCCCAACTCCCCCAACCCAAATCCATATTCCCCAAAGCAAAGCTGACACTGGATCAACACCAAAACAATAGCTCAAGTCTGCACAGAACTGCAAGTTGCTTCTTACCATGTATGTGGTTCACCTTGTTCATCTCATGGTGCAGAATCTTGAAGACATTGGTATGATTATGACCATCTTCATCAAAGTCAAATCCTACTTGAAAGTATAAATAATAGGTGACTTTGCTTCCTTCAGTATAGTATCAGGTGCTCTGAATGAAGGAGAGGAACCCTTATGTGTTGTTTTTATGCTCCCCCTCAACCCCCACACCCATGTCCTGGATTGAATTTGCAGGCTCTCTCTCCAGACACCTCTTTATTCACAGCATAGGGTGTGCACCCGGACTAAGGCAAATTCTCATTGTATTCATAGCATTTCCTTCTGCTGGCTTGACTAATGTTGCCTCTGTGCTTTCAAAGATCTGCACCAGCACCTACCCTGAAGTATTCCCAGCTTCAGGTCTTTTGAAAAACAGCATCTTTCAACTAACAGCTGTGGGAAACATAATACCGTAGGAATTTATTGGAACTGAGCAAATATTCTATTGGAGTATATTTCCATCAATATTCATTCAACTGCAGAAGTGCATTTTGATTTAACCATGCTTCTTCAGAGTTTACTTTGAATGGGTATTTATGCACTTGAATTTTATCAATTTCTGCATGACAAAAGCAACTTTTCATATCTGTGCTAGAATATTAGCAAAAGGCCTATTTTAAACTGTATATGAGTCTGTCAAAATCTCAGTTTATACTGTATTATTATTTATAGATGCCATCTGATTTTGCAAGGGGGAGGGGCAAAGCCACATGATTTAAATGCACATAAATATTCATCAGCATTTATTAGCTGGAGAAATTTCCATCATGCCCCAACATAAATATATTTGAGAATTTCCCAGTCTGCACCCAGAGTCCTTATTAATAAAAGAACATGATGAAAGTCATTGAATATATTACTCCTTTGCCCATTATGCATTTAGTTCTGCTGTTTATATGAAAGCTCTTGCAGAGTCACTGTGCAAGTTTCCTTCCTCACCAAATTGAAGGCAAAGCATGTGCTCACTGCATTTGCAATGAGCTAGCTATCTATGACTTGTTTATAGTTGGACATGGCTTCTCTCTTTTGTAAAAGGAATTTCATATGCTGGAGACTCTTTGTACATATTTATAATGACTTTATTAAAAAAAAGTTGTTCACTGGGAAAAAGCGTTATTTTCATTTTCTCCCTAAAATAGCAAAAATATTTACTTCAATCTCTTTTCACAACCCTACTCCTACTGAAGTGGATGGAAGCTTTGATTCCCAATTCCACTGGAGCAGGAGCTGGACCTATTCCCCAGAAGACTCTAAATGCCATGTTAGAGAAGAATCCTAGCCTCTTCTCCATGGTAGGGACACAGAACTACCATCCCAACTTAAATGACAAAGAATAGCTCAAGGGATTGCTAATGGAATACAAAGCCTATCATCTCCACATTGTCCAATACAAGTAGATAAGGGCCAAAGCCAAAAGCTGTTTAGTGGACCATATAATATGAGCCGGTATCTGCCCTGTTCCTAGAAGCACAAGTGTCCACGACACAAAACACTCATTACATTTGGTATGAACTAATCTCAGAAGAGGTGAAAAACTGGATGGTCCATGCAGACTGAGCAACTATTTTATCCTCTATTATTCCCCTCTATTTGGCACTGGTGAGGCCACATCTGGAATACTGTGTCCAGTTTTGGGCCTCTCACTACAGAAAGGATGTGGACAAATTGGAAAGAGTCCAGTGGAGGGCAATGAAAGTGGTTAGGGGACTGAGGCACATGACTTATGATGAAAGGTTGAGGGAACCATGCTTATTTAGTCTGGAGATGAGAAGACTGAGAGGGGATTTAATAGCAGCCTTCAAATACCTGAAGGGTGGTTCCAAAGAAGATGGAGCTGGGCTGTTCTCAGTGGTGGCAGATGACAGAAGAAGGAGCAATGGTCTCAAGTTGCAGCAAGAGAAATCTGGGTTAGATATTAGGGAAAGTTTAGGTAGGAAAACTCTCTTGTGAAGGTAGTAAAAGCACTGGAATGGGTTATCCAGAAAGGTTGTGGAATCTCCATCGTTTAAGGTTTTTAAGACCCGGCTGCACAAAGTCTTGCCTGGGATGATATAGCTGGTGACAGTCCTGCTTTGAGCAGGGGGTTGGGAGTGGATGACCCTCCTGAAGTCCCTTCTAACCCTAATTTTCTAACATACCCCACTCTACCTGTTCTGTAGTGAGACAGAGGTTTTCAGTCTCCAGCAGCATCAGGCAACCCCTTTATCTGTTTCTGCAATTAAGAGATGGGAAGCTTATAATGGGTGGTGTGCTCAGAGCTGTCTGACCTCCCATGAGAGCCTAGTACAATGTAATTGTGCATAAGAGAACCACACATGTATCTCAGACTGGAATCTGGTCCTGAAACAGAAGGAAGAAACAGGGAGATCTGAAGTGAAACAAAAGTGCGGATCAGGATGTTCATGATTTCACACCAATTAGAGTGCTGCGAAAGAAGCATAAATGCACAAAAGGCTCTCACAAGGCTTAGGGGTTTTTTTGTTGAGTGCCAGCATCAAGCCTCACCTCATGTTTTTTCTGAACATTTGAGCAGCAGGAGAGCATTTCAACCTCTAACAAGATACTCACACTCTCTCCCTCTTGCTCACGTTTCCAGCTGGAAGAAAGCAGTCAGTGAAAGTGGGCAAAAGGAACAGGACAAGGAAAGAAAAGAAAAGGATAATTTTGATCTTCCTTTCTCTTCATGGCAGTGAAGAAAATGCCAAACAAAAAAACCCTCAGATTTAATCTCTCATAACAATTTTTGCACCTAAAGACAAGCAAAGAAATAGGCCCTTATAACTGGACCCTGCTTTTAGAAAAGCCTTGAAGCACAGGCACTTGGCATTGACAGAAACATTGAGAAACTGCTGGAGACCAGGGGGAGAAGAGGAAGGGAACAGAAGACTTCTGTGCATGCTGAATGGGGTTGTAATTGCACTGTTGATAAAATATGAATGTCTATCTTTGTGTATATTTTGGGGGATTGGATATGTTTTTGAAAGTCAAATCTGTTATTTTTTTGGTTGGATTCATTAATAAATAAAACTAAAAACTGCTTTGAGATCATGAATGCAGAGATCCATTCATGTTAAATTCACCTTTGCTTTCTCACAGACTGGTCACCAATTTGCCCTTCTACCCAGAATATAGGTACCAAGCTGATGTATGCACCAAATATACACCAGTTGGCACCTCTGCTGCTTTGTTACAAAAATTAAGGATCCTTCCTTTTGGAGATAGCTAGATGTTTGTTTGGCTTAGTCTCTTCCCTTTCTAAAGAAGCATTTGACAAAGGCTATATCACTATATTTTAATAAAGCTGCTTCTCCTTTCCCTTCCTTCATATGTATCTTTTAAGTCAGGTTTCAGCTACTTTTCCCTCTATGTCTAACTCAGATTCTGCCTCCATTATTTCTCCTCTGGTTCTGCTTAGCTATTATTTCCAAGGAAATGCTAAGACTAAATCCAGTTGCCATTAACTTCTGTTTGCTTTAATTTTTTCCCCAAGGGGTTTTTATAGCAGGAGGGGAGGAAGACAGCCAATACGTACACACAGTTCTGTTTCCCCCAGGTAGAGTTCTTCCTGATTATCCAGTCAAGTGGGATTGTAACCTTACAGCCATTTCCATAGTAATGAGCATGGAAGATGCCATGACTGCTTAATGAGGCAGTTTCTTAGGGCATTCAGAAAAAGCAAAGATTGTTTAGTGAAAGAAAATCTCCATCTTAAGATGCAGAAGGAAACACACTCCCAAATTATTTGCATCCAAGTGCCACTGTAGCACTACTGACAGACATCATGACTGTGATAGCAATGGCCCTTGCTACTCCAAAATACAGTAGGACAATGACCTTTAAATAATAAAACCTGCTCTCCCAAAACAGTCCTTTTATGAAATTGAGGCAGTTTGTTTTGGAAAGAGGGAGGTCAGGAAGAGGGAAGGTCTAAAATATGACTAAAATGGAGATTGGAGCCTGAATGCAGGGATTTCATAAGCAAATCTCAAGTATTATACACCCTGAATTTTACTTTATTTCACAGCAGCTGTCATGAAGGAAGGAGTCACTGACAGTTTCTGCCAGAAGAGCTGTCACTGACTGTCACTAGAGAAATATGAATTGTTTGCATGCAGCCTGGCCAGGCTCAAGTGCATGTCCTAGATGCAAGAGAACATTTAAGAGTACCTGACCTGTAAGACCATCTATGGGCATGTTGAATGAAGCACAAAAGAATCCAACTTTGAGTCTGTAACAAGTTGGTAATGTTGGTACGTAACACACCACACTGTGTCAACAGGTATTGATCTTCCTAGGAAAGCACCAGGTGAGTTCTGCCAACTCATTCAGATAGGTGAGAACAGCTCCCTACTGCAATTCTGAAGTGTTGGCTGAACAGCTCTGAGGAAGCAACCCCAAAAACAGACATGCCCTAAGGAGAAAGGCTGGAGCTGAATGATTGGAAAGCCAGTTGCTAATTTCTTTATAATAAAGGTGAACCCCAGGGAAAGCATGGATTTCACTCTCTGAAACGTGCATTTCATTGAAAGAAACCATGTCCTCAGTGGTCTTGAATTAGGACTGAACTTTTGATCTAGTAAATTCAGACCCAGCAATGGGGCTAATGATTATGTCTGTCCCAAAAACAGAACTCTGGACAGGATGCTGAAGCAGGGAGTCTCGAATGTTTTTCCAGATGACATACTACTGGCAACATAGCTTTACAAAGCCAGGTCCTGAGAAATCATGGTTTAATGTCAGGAATCCAGCAGCAGCTCTCTTGACAGGCAGTTGAGGACAGGTTCTTCCGATATTGTAGGTTACATACATGCAATGGGAAACTCTCTTCATGCTTTTCCTACAACAGTAATCTACACTAAAAGGATAGAAAATAGGAGCCAGACTCGGGCAATCTGTACTATAGAAGGAAAGGTCAAGACACAACCTTAGCTGTAAGTTAGCAGTGAAGGCAGAAATGGATTCTGACTACAAAGAGGTAACCCACTAGCTGTCAGTCTCTTTAGAAGACTCTTCATGTTAGTGTTGAATGATGGTCCCTACTTCAGAATTAACAGTATGCTCTCTGGGCTACTGGAGAGTCAGCACTCACTGAAAAAACAAGACAAGTCTACTAAAAATTAAGATTTAGAAACAATAGGTTTCTCAGCCTTTTCTTCTGTTTCCTCATGTGTCACCATGATGGGGTTAATATACTTGGAAGTGAGCAGAGGTGGTGCCATCTTTCCAACAGCGCAGGGTTTCTACAGTAACAGAGCGACAGAGGGGACAGGTCTTCTCCCTGTCAAACCATAGACAGAGGCACTCTTCACAAAACACATGCTGTGGAGACAAAGGGACATCATTAAAATGGGCAGAGGTCCAGCCCTGTCATCTAGTACACACATACAATGGGAAAGCCACTGGGGGCATTTTTACACATGCTCCAGGGGTGGGTTCCAAAAGCTGCTCTAATTAAAGTGCCGCAGCGTCTTGTTTATCAGTGTCTCTGCGCTTTAAAATGTTGGCAGGGGTGCTTAAACTAAAGCTCACTCAATAAGCTTTAGTTCAAGCACCCCCACCACCATTTTGAAGCATGGGGATGCTGATACATGAGATGTG